TCAGGGCCGAACACACTCTCCAAGTCGACTGCGATCTCTTCGTGGGACACTGGACCGGTGCACGATGGCTCCCTCGACGACATCCCTTCATCGACGGACGCCTTCACCGCCGCCGGCCCTGGGCCATCCAGCGCGGCCTCCGACGGCCTGCACGTGATCGAGCGGGTACAGAAACGGTGGCTGCCGCAGCTCACACCCTAATCGATCTGCCTTAGGCACGGAGCCAACGGAGCCATCGCGCATGCCCGCATCGCGTGCGGCTCCGAGGTCTCCCGCCGAGACCGGCTCGGCGCGGCGCGTGGCCGCACGCCGCCGTTGAAAAGGCGAGATAGGACCGAGGGGAGAGCGCCGGCCACATCGAGCGAGCGCTGACGTGTAAGGTGTCTGTGCTGCTCCGGTGTGTGTGGGATTTTGCCCCCCCCCCCCCCCCCCCATTTGTGCGGCGAGTTGTTTGCGGCGCGATGCCCGATCGTGCGCGATAGCCTCCCATTGTGCGTGGTGTGTCGGTGTGTGTCGGGGTCGTCCGGAGCGTGTGGCGGCGCCGTTGCATGCAGCGACTGCTCCACGTGCCACGACTGCTTTGACTGCCGTGACTGACTGATGAGTACCACGACTGCTTTGACTGACGTGACTGACTGATGAGACATGAGTGCTGATGGATGATCTCCGACAACCCAAAACCAAAATGCAAATGCGGAGTGGCGCCACTTTGGCGTGCAGATCCTGCGTCTCTCACTGCCCGAACAACAGAGACGGGTACCGCCGCAGGTCCCACACTAGTACCTGCGATAAAGCACACACGAGTGGGGCACCCCAATCGAGACGGCGAAAAAGAAAACGGCGGTTTACGACGCCGGCGTTAGTACGCGGGCCACGCCAGCATCCCTTCATCAACTTTTCGATGCCGCCCGTCCCCGCGGGTGCACGCGTCGAGGTGCACGGCCTCTCGGCCAAGCCGGAGCACAACGGCAAGCTCGGGCGTGCCGTCTCGTATGATCATAACAGGGAGCGAGTCGGCGTCCACCTCGACTCTGGTGATCGGCTGTTGCTGCGCGTGGCCAACCTGCGGCTGACACAAGACGAGCTTCCTGCGCACAAGGAGAAGGCCGTGTTTGCCCAGATGTTCTCCAAACCCGGCGCGCTGTCCTCAGAGGCGGACGGGTCTGCTGCCGAGCCGACAGCACCTCCACCGCCTGCGCCGCCTCGCGACGGCAGCGGAAGTTGGGACGACCTCGACGAGCAGCAGGTGATGCTCAGCCTCTCCGAGGAGGAAGCGCGAGCCGTTGTCGGCGGTGACGCTGGTGCAACCCTCAGCAGCACGCCCTCTCTCGAAGCGGCGCTGAGCAGCGCGGTGCGGCGGAACGAGCTCACGGCGTTCGCGAACGCCCCGCGATACGACCGGCTGGTGCTGTCGTGC